ACCGCTGAATCTTTGCGCAGCCTTCAAGAATAAAATTCCTTTGTATTCAGGAATGGCTCCTGGAGCTATTTTAAGTGTGTGATTGCCAAGAAATGATTCCTTGACCTATCAAACAGGTGAGGTTAGAAAATAGTGCAAATACAGTAACACTTCTCTCTAGTACAGTGACTTAGTAAATGTTGAAGAATGCAGCTGCATAGCACACCATCAGGGCGGAGATGCTTTTGCACTTGCTCAGAGCTGCGGTAGGTGGAGATGCAGAGTGGATATCCTAAACACCCACTTTACACTGTGATGTGTTTAGCCTCTGGTACCCCAGGCAGGGCGGTCCAGGTTTGGCCAAGCGCATGTTTCAGTCTGTGAGTGCTGTGCTGTAGAAACCAGCTCTCCTGATGGCAGGTGAAGCTTTTGCCAGATCAGGGGGAAATCTTTGACCTTTGCAACATGTCCTCCTTTTCTGCTCAGAAAATGTTAACGTGCGGCACCCACAGATTGCTGGTCGCCCGTCCCTCCTGTTCCCTCCTTTCAGTGATTTGTAGTGCCAGATAAATAGCTGGTTCCAGTATTTCACCAAGTGAAGGGATCTCTGAGGGCTGTGAAGATGGGAGTCAGGGATCCTGCACACCGATATTGTCTGGGGAGATAAGGGACCTGGAGTAGAAAAGGTGTCATTAATCCAGGAGGATTTATTCAGCTGCTCCTGCCCCAATCCCAGCCACCATGAATTAGGATATATTCCCTTTTAGGGGTGACGTGCGTTGAAGTTTGGACCATGCTTGTTGCCCAGTAGCAATGGCTTGTGCCTCTGTTATGGACCTGGGTTTGTTGTTTGGTGTCTCATGAGTGAGAACAAGTGGAGACATCTCAAACCAGGAGACTGACTTAAATTGCCCTTCGCTCCCCCTGGATTTTTCCAGAGGAGCATACATAGGTGATGCGTCTCTCCACCCCATTCTGGGTTTCTCCCAGAAACAGGGAATTTCAGGTGAACTCTCTCCTTGTGTGTACTCATATGTGTCCTTTTATTACCATCTGCACAGGGAAAGTGCTGCTTCTGTGGCACACACACGCACCTGACATAACATACTCATTTCAAAATGGAGAGCAGCGAGGGAATTGATTAATGAAATGCATCTCCCGCTTCGATTTTTTTGTGGGTTGGGCAGAAGCACTTGCTACATTAGCATTCAGCTGGTGCAAATGGGGATTGTAAAGGCCTTTTTTTAATCCCTGTCACTGAATACAGTAGTCTATCCAAGGCTGTTTATGTGTAGATGGAGTTAGTCTTTGTGCTGGTTGCCCTGGGCACTGCTGATCAGTACGGGGCAGTAGAAGAAAACCTGTTTAGCAGGTGGGATATATTAACTCTGCCATCAGCCCGTGCTTCTGACCAGCAGTTTGCTTCCCAGAGCTGAGAATCCATCCACAGTCCGCCATCTGCACCTTGTGGTGGTGGTGGTGGCCGTGGCAAACGAGGAGGAGCGAGTCTCTGATGACTCTTGGTGTGAGGGATCCTGTTAAGTGAACAGCTGCTCAGGCTGATAAATTAGGTTGGCTGGTTTCTCGCAGCCCTGCGTGCTCCCACGTGGAAATACCAGGGGTGTTATTTTAGTTGGGGGAAGGTGTAGCTTTCTACCTGTTAATAACTACATTTGTGAAGATTTGTTAAAGCTGCTAATTTAGCTTAAACATTTTGTGCGAGGGAGGTTCTGGAAAATTACAGTAATTGTGACTGTCAGATGAAGACGTTTGCTGTGCCTGGAGGGAATGGCCCCGTGTTGCGTGGCTGCTGGCAGCGAGCGCAGGAGGGGTTTGGTGTGTTGGTACACCTGGAGGGACAGGCCACAGCAGGAATCAACGCACACGGGCTCCCAACGTCTGCTCTCCACAAGGACAGCTTCTCTTCTCTTGCGGGAGCCCGTGTGCACGCATGATGTGTCTGGGATTTGAGGAAAGGCAGACTGGGATTTACTCTTTATTTTAAGGACTTATTTTATGCTATTTATTTTGTGGATTAGGTGCACAGGTGAGTGAAGGCGAGTGGCTGTAGGCAGAGCCAGGCTGGGCAGGAGAACCTCTAGCAGGTGACTGCACATGCTCTGGACCATCCGCTGATGTGACTTTCAGATGCAGTTTCGAGTAGGTGGGGAACTGGCAGCTGAGAAGAGGCACGAGCAAGCCCTGCCCAGGTTGGCTGGGCGGCACAGGTCCCATGCTGCCGTATGGCCCTGCAGACCGAGCGCTATTCTGGCTCTGCCTCCACCACGCTGTGGGGCCGTGACAAATCGCTTCCATGACATTCTCTGTGTGCTTCCCTTCCACCCCCCCGGCCTGTTCAGAGGTGAGCCGTTCGGAGACGGGTTGTCTGGGCGGTGTACGTGATCTCAATGGGGGCTGCAGTTGCCCCCATCTTAGAAAGAAAGTCTACTAATAATTGTAAAAGGTACAAAGGGGACGAGCATGTGGAGAGTCGGGGGGCAAAGCGCTGTGGGAGAGAGCAGCAAGCTCGTTTCAGAAGGCTGAATTCCTTGCATAGACTGCATTTTCTGCCTGGGGTGTAGTGTTGCTGGCTGGCAGTCTTTCCAAGCTCACCGCCTCCTGCACCGATCAGGCTGCTGGGAGAGGGGGAGGGTGCCGGGTTTCACCATACTGCAGTCACTCCTGGGCTCGGGGCTAAAAGCCTTGGCACACACGGCTTGCCTCCAGCTGGGTTTAACGTGTCAGTGGGGAGGGAGCTGCATGCTCCATTCCTGAAGGCGCAGTCTGGTCCTTTGGCATGTTGCTGAAGGCAATTTGCTGTAACACTCTTCACCTTCTCACCTGCAGTGGGTAATTTTTACTGAGCGGCCCAATAAAGTGTGCGGGGTAATGAGTGCAACAGGGCTGGGAGGTGTTTCCTGGCTCGGGATGGCTTTGCAAGCTGAACCTTAGCTGAGGAGTTGAAAATAATGTTGAGTATGTATCTGTCATCTTTGTTTCCCCTTTCCCCTCAAGCATCTTCTTTCCTTGCCTCCCTACGTGAAAACTTCTCACTTTGCAGCGCTTCTGCAGTAGTCCCTTCCATCAGAACGTGTTTCTGGGAGGAGAACAGCCCCTTCTAAGGATCCCTGTGGCCCTAGGGTGAGCAGTGTGTTGGAGCCTGTCTTGTGCTTGCTGTGATCCGCACGCACGTCTATGCGGTGCGTCAGAGCAGCAGGACCTGCTTTCCAGTCCTCTCCTCCCACAGCAGGCTTGCCTTGCTCTGGCTGATTCTCTTCTTTCCTCCCAGCACCAGCGGTTTGCAGCACAGCTCTGAGCCTAGGTTAGGTCGTGCTGTATGTGCTGAATGTGTTGAGCTTCTTCCGTTCCACCCTGGTACCCCTTGGGATGGGATGGGAGGAGCACGAGGGATCACAGTATCCTGTGGTCTTGACCCCAAGAGATGAGCCTGTCCAGCAAGTCTGTCTCTGCCTGAGCCTCGCCAGTGCTGAGGTCCAGCGTTCTTGTTTGGTCCTGCATCAAAGAAACCTTTTCACCGTTCTTACCTTGCTTTGGTGTTGCTTTCTGCGCACAAAAGATCCCGGCGCATGTTCGCTGTACTCTCCTTGTCTGGGGAGGCTGCAGGCTGCTTCTTTCAAAGTTTGCAGAGGTGATTTTTTCCAGCCTATTCTCAGTGATTCCCACTATCCCTGTCCTGATCGTGTAAAAGGAAGATGACTGAGCTGCTCAACCTCTGAATCCCACTCCAAGAGTTACCATGAGAGAGCACCGACAGACAAAACAAGGTTTGGTCTGCAGTGCCAGAGTTGAACCTTCGGCACCCACTGAGCCTTTGCGGGCTCTGCCGGGGAGCTGTGACTCTGCTTGGGAAGCCTGACTGTTCCTGCGTGCCACTCAGAGCCAGAGGGACGCTGAGCTCCCTAATCAGGGTCGCTATTTAGTCATGCTTCTCCACATCCTAATGAGAAATCTGTCACGGGTGCATTTCTTGGCTCTTTGCTTTTGAAGAGCCGTTCCGGAGCCCGGCACAGCAGGCAGATGGGGCTGGGTGGAGGTGAAGGGCAGGATCCAGTTCTCAACAGGGAATGTCAAGCTTGCAGACGCAGGTGTGCAGGTGATGGGGAGGAATAGCCAGCAGCCCCTTGCTTTGGAACAGGTTATTGTGTGGGTTACCCCGGGGAGCCCAGGAGGCACTGACACCTTTTGTACTGCTTTGCACTTCATGCCAAAATGCACAGAGGTAAGCCTGGCTCACTAAATGTCCTCCATCTCTTACGAAACTGTACAAAATATACACTCCTGCAGCCCTGAGGGAGGGCAAAGAGAGCGGGGAGCTGCCCACTGGGATTTATGGAGCCTTTTCACCACTGTTGGTGACAGTGGCGTTGCTGTTCATGCACACCATGTGGTACTTAGGTTCCTTAGTTTCTGGAGACTGCTCTAAAGCTGCTGTAAACTTTGGGACCTCGTCATATCAGCTTAGATGATGCCACTTAATAATGAACGGAAGAGAGACAGGTGAGCTGACATGAAGTGGAGGAAACAGAGATGCCTGCAGATTGCCTGCCTCCCGTCGTGACCTTTCCAGGTACATGACCCTTCAGAGCCCACCAAGGTGTTTTCATTTATACTTGTAGGTTGAAAAGAGAATAACAGGCAAGAGCATTAATGATATCTGCTGCCGGGAGAAGGTTGTTTTGATGGTGCCATCCTGAATACACACTGGCATTTGATGGATTTCCTTTTAAACTCTTGGGTTCGGCAAATTTTATTAACATGAACTTAGAAAATTTTGTGATCTGTAGAAATTACTCTGTGTTAAAGTGGTCTGCAGTGTGTATTGGAAAATACTAAAGCAGTTGACTGAGTTGGGGCCTTACATATTAATGTCTTTGTCAGATTTTTCCAGGGAAACGTTTTTCATTGCCATTTGTATTGAATTGAAAAACCAGACTTGGCGGACAGCTGGTGGGAGAATTCAGTCTGTAGCTGCTGTGGAGAGCAATGAGTTGCTTTAAACATGTGATAACTATTTAAATTAAAGAAAAACACTAATGACAGCTGAGAATACGCTGATGTTAAAATGGGTCATGTAAAAAGCATTTGATTTTTCAAAACTGTACATACTTTCCCAAGCTAACACTGCAATAAAGTGTGTATGTGTGTGCATGTATGTTTGTGTGTGCGGTGCAAAGAAAACTTCAGTTTTGGAGACCTCTAAAATCCAAAGCATTGATGGATGTTCTTGGGAAGTGGTGGTGGGACAAACACATGATTGTGTTGGAGAACCAGAAGGTCACTTGGGTCCTTATAAGCACAGCGCTGTGCTTGGCCCAGCAGTCAAGCCTGTTTTCTGGCTTATATTTATGGGTTTTGTGCCACGTTCAGGATTTCTGGCACTTGTGTTATAGCATTGCTGGATGAATTTGTACAGCAGGGTGGGTTTAACAGCAAAGGCGGTTTAACAGAGACTTATTGAAAGCAGGAGCCAGTTCTTCTGGTAGAGAAGAATACAAGCTTTCTGCTCCCATCAAGGAGCTTGCATGCATATTCAAAACTCTACCGTGTGACTGAGATGCCTTCGGGTTATGCTATTGATAGGACAGATGCTGACAGCCCCAGGGGGAGGGTTTCTGCTCCGCTGAAGTCAGCGGGTTTTGCTGCTCGCGTGGAAGGGGAGGAAGATCAGGCAGTTATGTATGAACCATGAGAAGGCTGCGGTCCAGGAGCAATCACAAATGTTAGTGCTTTGTCTCCGAAGCAAGTTCACCCTCTCTCATATAGAAAGAAGGAGATAGACAGGGGTGAGCCTTGGAGAGCAAACAAGTGTCCTGACATGTATGAAATCCATCCTCCTCCTCTTAGCAAGGTGTCTGTATCCCCTTGGTTGCATCTCATCTGCTTCACTAGGATGAAGTTGGTTTCCGCAGGCAAAGCTGGTCACTGTGGAGAAGGAGGATCATAACGCTTATGGTCTCTCGCCCTAGTCTCCCGCATTGCCAGCCTGTGGGCAGCTGTTTTGTGTAATTAACTTGACATCTGGCTTTGTTCTTCCTCTTGCCTTGTTTTAATTTCCTGTGGTTGCGGGAATGCCACAAGGCAAGGGGAAACTCTCGTCTCTCAGGGTTGTGGCATTTCCCTTCTTTTTGTCATTCTATGTATCTTTCCCAAATGGAGCAAGTGAATTTAGGAAGGCAGCTGCTGAAACCAGCTAATTGCCTGTCTTTTCTCTCACACTGTTGCCTTAAAGGAGAAAATGAGGCAAGAAGCAAATTTGCACATTGAAACCTTTTAGTTACTGTTGTTAGGACTGCTGCAGGTCTGTAAGGAATGGGAAAGCGAGGAATTACATTTCAGACTATCTTTGTGAGAGAAAAGCCTTCTTCTTAACTCAAACATCATAACAGGTTTGCATTTCTCAGCAGAAACACTGAGTAATTATTAACGTTCATTCCCTTCTTCTTTCCCCAGCCTTATCACGCTTTTTCCAACAGCCGGAGTCGCAGACAGTGGAAGAAAATGGTATGGCCCGGTTTGAGTGTCGGATTGAAGGACTGCCCTCCCCTGTCATCACGTGGGAGAAGGACCATGAAGCTGTTCCAGCAGAACCCAGGTGATACCCTGATTGCTTTCCTGGGTTAGCTTGAAAAAAAGCAAAACAAAACCTGATCGTTTATGATGTGGAAATCCTTCATAAAAAGATAGAATGAAACGAGAGATCATAGAAGCACCTAGATAAAATTAACCTTCCCCCAAACATCATCCAACCCACCAAAAAAAAAAAAAAGACAAACCAAGTTCTTTTTTAATACTGATCTCTTGTTCTGGAACCTTTGCCATGGTGGACCAATGGCTCAGGGCTAATGATTCTTCTGGAGTACTGTGTGTGCTCAGTAACCTGGGAGGTCTTTCCATTTGTTTTATTCCTATGTTTAGAGGTCATCTAGTAGAAGACCCTGAATTTTCTTTTTCGAGGGGGGAAAAGGTAAGAATCTTGCATCATGATACCTTTTCCTTAATGGAAGTCAGTTACAGGCATGAGAAGAAGATGAACCATCAGTTGGTCTGTAGACATCACTCCTGCAGGGGATCAGTGACTGCATTGTCCTTTGGTTCTTAGAAACTAATTTTGTGTTCTGCAGAAGGAGCTGTTTCCTCCCAGGGAAGTTAAGCCAAGAGGCTGGAGGAGAGGAAGGAGAGAGGGGTGGGGTAAGGTTTGGGAATAATTTCGCAGCAATGACTGTTTCTATAAGAATAACCACTTATATCATTGAGTCTGAAGTGTGGCATCTACAGGTTTGTAGGAGGCTGTTGCTTTGTAAGGAGAAGAAAATTAATTAAAAAAAAAAAGAAAGAAAAAAACCAAAACAAAAGGAGGGGATTGCAGAGGGAAGTGTGCCATAGATAGGGCAATGGCTTTTTAATGAGACAGCTCGATGGATGTTGTGAAATTACTTGCTTGGATATTGCTTTCAACACGGGCAGCCTGAAAACTGTCTCCCTTGTAAAAGCCAGACCATAATCTCTAGCTGCAGATCTTGCTTTTAAATCATGTTTTAGCTAATATGCTTTTTCAGAAGGATTTGCTTTTTCATTCTTGTCTCGTTGTTGTTGTTGGATTTAATATAACCGACTTTCGAAGGAATTAAGTGAATTCCAGGAAGCGTTGGCTGCCAACCAGAGCTCTCTGTTATCCTTACCCCATCATGCTTAAGGACCAGATCTCAGGCCAGCCTCTGATTACTGTGGACTCCCTCCTGTGCACACATCTGATGAGCCTGTGAAAATGCAATCATTTGGATTGGTAGACGTCAGGATGATGATTTCGTATTCCAGAATAGCATGATTAGGTGTATGTACAAAATCAGGCTCTGGGGCTGTAGATGCAACACTTGAGGTAACACTACTACATCAGTGTTTATGATTTCTTTTAAGAGGGATAGAGTAATCATGGCAAACTGACATTGCTTTTTCTCTTCCCTTTCTTTTCTCTTCCCTTTCTTTTCTCTTCCCTTTCTTTTCTCTTCCCTTTCTTTTCTCTTCCCTTTCTTTTCTCTTCCCTTTCTTTTCTCTTCCCTTTCTTTTCTCTTCCCTTTCTTTTCTCTTCCCTTTTTCTTTTTTTGTGTTGATCTTGCCTTTGGGCACTCTTTGCCTTTTGCCCTTGGGTGCATGTTCTGGCATGGTGCCACCTTGAAAGTGCTGAACGTTGAGCTTAAAAATTACTTAGACAACCCAAATGGTAGAAAAGTGCTCAATAGTGTTTGCAGAATACCTTTCCTGCCCTGCTGAAGTTCAGGACAAAATCTAACTTTCATGTAAGGCACACAAGTGCTTTGCAGTTCTGGCTCTGAAGTACTTTTAAAAAATACGGTCTTAAATCTGCAGCAGCTGCTGAGAGGTGGCTTGCAGGATTTCTCTAGATTGCAGTTACTTTGGGGTGTGTGCTACATCTCTTGGCGTAGTCTCTTCTTTGTTTTGGGTGCTGGCTGGGTTTCACACCAGGCTCCAAATTGCTGTTTATTTTTGCTAGGGCCAACATGAGTACTTGCTAAGAACTGGAGGTCTTTAGAGGTCTGCACATAAACACATACCCTACAGATCCCATGGTCTGCAAGCACAGTATCTTCCACATTTTGGCTAAGTAAGGGTTTTGTTTGTGTGGAGAGTTTACTTCTGTCTTGTCTCAAGAGTGCCTTAATATGGCTCACGTTCACGGCTCTTGAGGCGTGAGCAAAAATGTTTGCAGACTTTGAGTCTGCAACAAAGCTGCAGGTTCCTAACTTGTCCCAAGGACTGGTGCTTTAGTGTGTTTTGTATACCTTCAAAAGGCTGTGAGGAAGGATGTGCCAGCAGCTTGTTGGGGAGAAAGTAAGAAAGGGAATTAGACTGTTAATGCTGGAATGTTCTCTGCTATGCATGCAGTGTAGCGCACTGAGCTGTAGGGTTGCAGGATTTGGACACAAGGCAGCAGTGCTTGATTTCAGTTCTTGAGCACCGCCCTTTGGGGATAGAGAAATCCTGCCTTTCTTCCCTTCTTCCTTCCCTGGGAGAGCAGTGCTCACCTCTGTTGTGCTTTCCCAACAGGTCGTACTGCATTAAGTAGATCTCTCTATCTCTACTAGGACCATCTTGACCTATGTGTTGATCGAGTCCCCCCACTCACTCACCCTTGCCTCCAGCTCCTGCTCTCTTTAGAAACACAGTGGCTTCTTTTCTGCCCTCAAGAGAAGCTGGGTGTGTTGGATGAACGTGACCATGGACACTGTCCTGACCGACTTGGTGTAGCTGACTCTGCTCTGAGAGGGGAAAGACCACAGACAATTTTCAGAGGTCCTTCCCAGCCTCAGTGAATCTGCGGTACATAATTGGAGTGTCTTTTTGTGGCTGGGAGATGCCATGCCTAGTGTTTGAAATATGTTGATATTAATTACAGACTCAAATAGCAGATGCACGACAAAAATAAATATTATCGCAGTGGGAGGATTTCCCTCAACAGAGCTGAGAGGATGCAAATATTTGTCATCTTTCTCCTGAGTCCTGACGAGGCATCCCGATGAGGGCTTTCTGGGTACCACCTCCTCTGAGGTCTCTGGAGCTTGATCCTGAGAAAAGTGTCATTGTAAGTAGCGGGAGCATGGCTTTAGGGATGCCGGGCAGTTGCCCTTGTGTACGTGGGAAGCTTCAGCAGGTCTGTGTCCCTGAATCAGGCTGAAGGATTGTGTAGCTAGAGACAGTATGGTCACTGGAGGAGCTCTGTTAGCGCTTCTTTTTCTTATCAGCTGTGAAGAGGACAAGAAGCAATGAGCTCAGATTGCAGCCAGTGAGGTCCAGGATAGATGCTAGACTTGCAACAGGGATATTTGTCTCTGGAATAGACTGCCTAGGGCAAGGGAGGTATTTCCATTATGGCAGATTTAGGATAAATGTTTGCAGCAGCAGGTGTGCTGTTGGTGACCATGGCTTGAACGCAGGATGGGTGATCTCTTAAGGTCCTCCTGGTTCCATGACTCTTGCTCATGGCACTCCCGCTGTCTCGACAGCTGGAAAACCACAGTTTTACTTATCAGATGTACTTATTGGGATCTTTGTGGATGGAAGGACTGGCATGCATGTTTATAACTTGTCTTTGTGCTGTTCCTGTGGAATAGCTGCTATCCCTCCCCTTAGCAATTGCCTTTGAATGTGTCCTCTTCATAATGAAGACTGATAACCCAGAGCTGCCTGTCAAAGCTCGGCAGCTCTGTTTATAGAGGCTTGCAATTAAAAATGGATCTCATATATAATTAAAAAGGATCACGTAGGCTTTGCGCCTTGCATTCAAGAATAAAGAGGCTGCCATCTAGGAATCCAGGCAGAAAATGGAGATGCTGACAGCCAGCTCCTACTTTTATGCTAATTGCTAATCATCTGCTTTGTTCAGTATAATGCAGCAAGCATTGTGTTCATGTTGTGAGCCATGTAGCCGTTTCAGTCCATGGAAGTGTTGCCCAGTAGCACCCCATGGGCAAATGGGGGGGATATGGAATGCCCGGCTGTAAGGTTGTCAGCTTATGAAAGCCAGAAGCTCTTGGAAGAACAAAAGCAATCAACACAACCCAGGAATGGTGCAGCTTCAGGCGCTGTGTCCTGGCTGCTTTGGACCATGAAGGTGCAGCTGTTTGTCAGTTGGTCCCTTCATCTTCTTGAGGTGCGGCAGGAAAAAGATGACGTTCAGACTTCCCTGCAATGTTTTTTATTCCTTTGACTGCCAAACCTTTGTGAAAAGCAAGTGGTGAAACTGGCCATAGCGTGTGCGAAGGCACTGGTACACTTGGAGACATCTACAAATCTGCATGTAGAAATGTGCATGTGTGTATGTAGTTATTATATACTATACAGTTCGTTTGTATTAGCAAAGCCCTGTTGGCCTGGTCTCACAAAACCCTGTCCTATGTTGTGAAGACTCTAGGGTGATCTATAGGTCTGTCCCTGCTGCTTTGTAAGAACCTCCAGCTGGGCTACTTAAAGGTTTCTTGGGCCAATTCTGCTGTGGTTACCAGGACCTGTGCATAATACATTTGCAGGAGAAAAAGAAGGGGTAAAAGGGCTTTGAGTTGATAAATAGCTCAGGTAAGGTGTAGCCTGTCTCACGCTCTTTCTTTTGGTCACTCAGGTTTATAACTCTTCCAAATGGTGTCCTCCAAATCGTGGATGTGCGGGAGAGTGATGCTGGGGCTTACCACTGCGTGGCAACCAATGCTGCCCGAAAACGCTACAGCAATGATGCAGTCCTCAGTGTCCTAAAAGGTAAGGTGCAGGCAGGAGTGTGGTGGCCTGGGCACGCGTCTGCCACGTAGCCATTGCGTGGGATAGCAAGCTGAGCTGCGGTATCGGTGATGATCTCTCCTGCTGGTATGGCTCTGCACGTGGCAGGGTTTGGCCCAAACTTGCAGCGAAAGCGTTTTAATAAAGACTTCTCTTAACTTTTTAAGCAGGATAAGCAAGCTGGGTTAGGAGGTGTTGCCACCTGAGAGTCACAGCTGGCTGCTCTGCCAAGCCCCAGGACTAGGCAGCCAACAGTAATAATAATGGGGTTGTTTCTCTCTGCACCAAGGGATTTTCTTTTGCAGGTGGATTGTAACAGCAGGTGGATTTTAATAGCCCTAGACTCCTTTATGCTGTGGGACCCCAAGAAGGGCTCAGGCACCCTGCTTGCACCTTGGGGAAGTGCAGTGTTGTTGCGATCTTACCTCCAGTGGCCTTGGATGGCAAGACAAGTGAAGGCTGGCACAGAGGAAGATGCTTGCCCAAACTAGCAAGAGAAATAGTTGGAGGCTGGAGTAGTTGACAGGGCTGTGTCTACCTTGGGTTGCCGAGCAGAATCCAGAGGAGGTTAAGCACAGTGACATCCGAGTTGCATTCTACGTCCGTATTGCTGGCTCTTTGCTGTTGGGTAGGCTCCAGAGACATTTTTGTGGTATTTCGGAGCAGCCTCAGCTGGGATTTCTTCTGGTGACACAGAGCATTGGAGCAAGGCTTTGGGTGTGAGCTGTCCTTCACCTCCCGATCTGGGCCTCCATCTCCAAGTGCATTTTTCTCTGTAATCCAAGAGAGCAGTGGGCAAGTCTGGACATGAGAACGTAGCTGAGCGCGTAAGTGCCATGGGGATCTCCAGACTCCAGCATCCTTCCCAGCACGCCTGGCTGCCTCCCCAGTGTTGTATAATCCCCATTCTGCAAGCGGGCAAATTCACCAGAGCTGGAAGTCTGGCTGAGCTGTCCCTTCTCTCAGGACAGTGTCCCCTGCCGTGTCTGTCTCCTGTTCTTGCTGACCCCAGTGTATTTTGTAGGCAGCTTTAACCTTGAAAGCTCTGAAATCCTTCCCAGCCCCTTTTGTCTTTGTTTAGGATTGCGTTGCTTGGCATTTTGCTACCAGTGTATTTTCACAGAGATGGCTTTGCTGTTCATCCATCAGCAGGGAGTGTAATTAACTGTGGAGCCTGAGAATACACCTCTGATCAATGGATTGTGTCGTGGAGGTAATCTGTGTGGAATCTGCAGAGAATTTGTGAGGGGCTGAATGCTCTGTGTCTAATTGCCAGCCCCTGCCAGATCCTCTGTGTGCTTAATGAAGCACGGGGGCGAGGGTAGCGTTCGCTATGGGCAGTTCCACAACCCAGAGACAGCTCCCGTGTTGGGTCTGGTTCGCTATTGATAAGTAATATTGATCAAGCTGTAAAGGTGAATATGCTGTCCTTGGCATCAAAACTCGTTCTGCATAACTGTATCTTGTGACTCTGCAGTGTTTAATCTGCTTTGCAAATGGAGGCAATGGAAGAGGTTAAATGGGAAGCGTTCCTTCTGGAGCACCAGCCGGCCTGAGCAGATTTCTGCCTGGAGTTCTCACCCAAATCTCGCTTCTGCAGCACCACACCACCCGCTGGCTGCAAAAACAAATATGCGAGGTTGAGTTTTTCACCAGATTGAGCTGATAGTGATGAAAAACATGCCTGTTTAAATCTCTGGGTTTTTTTATAATTGGGGAAAAGTATCTCTGAGACAGATGGGAAACTGCAGTGACCTGTGCAGGCTGCAAACTCCTCCATGAGTGACTGGCATGGTATTGATCCTTTTTTGTTTCAGCACTTCACCATCAGAGGCACATTTTTGGATGCCTGGACTGGCTTGAGGAGTCTTTTCTCCCTGTTCAGAAGCAGCTGACAGTAGTTGGAGTGACCTGGTCAGGCAGAAATCCTTCGCTGGTTGTAAAAAATAAAACCAAACTAAACCAAAACAAACAAAAAATCCGAGGAAAAAAAAACAACCAACCAACAACAAAAACACAACGAAAGAACAATAGCCTGAAATACAGCTATTGAGTTACTGACTGGGAAATTTCAGGGACCAAACTCCTATGTGTCTGCAGGCAGGAGCAACTAAACTATTCCTTCCCTCCCAGCTGATGGCTAGTGAATCGTTTGTGCTGAGGTAAGATGGGAGTCCAGTCTTTCAGTCCCACTGCACTGCCAAAGCCCGTGGAAAAGGTTTGTGCAGTGGTACCTAGTGTCTCCTTTCCAGCTGTGCCTGCAGCTTTGGTGTCCCAGTGATGGCACTGCCCAGTGCCATGTGATGCTGGCCAAGTCTGTGTGCTTGTGATGGATTTTGGGGCCGTGCTGGTTCTAATGCAAACATTTCCACTTGCACTGGGTTGCCAGCACTTAGGCCTGGGATCGTCTCATGTTCATGCTTCTGCCAGACAACACTGGATGTGAACTAGCTGTGCATAGCAAAAGAATCTGTTTCCCTATAGCTCTTCTGCCCAGTTGTCCTTTTCCTCCCCCCTCTCCTCCTTGTTCCTGATACGATAGCTGGGAATTTTTCCATCTCCCTTATTAAAGGCCTTTTCCCAGTAGAGGCAGCAATTAGCATGACCCCCTTCTGTCATATTTGCATGGCCTAAAACCCCCAAAGGTGTCGTTTCCCTTGACGATGTGACTTCCCCATCACATGGGGAAGGCTGTGTTGTGGGTCAGTGGCTAAACACAGGCTGGCCTTGCACAGGCAGGGCAGAGCGCGACGGTGCATGGTGCTGCTGTAAGCGCTGCAGATGTTTCAGCTGTGCAGACTTCATGGTGCAAATTTCCAGACGTTCCCTGGGGAAGCGGCGTTTTAAGCTGGAAGGGAAGAGAGCAGACGGAGAGTAGGATACAGTCACGCAGCCCTGAAACAGAGCCTGCTGTCAAAATAGGGATAACTTGGATTTTCCCCTTGAATCTCCACTGCTCCCCAGCGGACAGCGCTGGACACATCTGACAGCTTTGTCCCTTCACCCCTCACCTGGGCAGATGATGAATGAACACTGCAGCCCTGCTGTGCTCTCTGCCAAAAAGGGCATTAGGACCTGGCTGCAGGATGCTTTTCCCAGGCGCTTCACCTGTGTGTGCTGCCTTTGCTTGGGGTCAGGTCTCGACGGGGCTGTGTCTGTTTCTTATAGCTCCTTTTTCTGAAAGCAGGCTCTGAAGCCCCACTCTGAACTCATATATAAAGAGTCAATTCTCTGTGTGTCCTGGTTGTGTTCCCAGGTCCTTGGCATACACAAGGAAGTGCTGCCATGCTTCATAAAGCGGCTCTCAAAGAAGAGTAGTAGAAAGTGTTGGGGAACGTGTTGTTGTGTGGTCTCAGGAGGTCACCTGGCCTGTCACTTCACTTTTCCCTTCCGTGTCACGCACATGCTTGTTCTTTGTGTGTTTTCTTGGGGATAGGAACTATCTCTTGCTATGTGTTTGCCTCACATAGTGGCTTACATCCGTAGTGCAGCACAAATAACCATCGGAGCCAACAAAATGTGGTCCTGGGAGCCAGGACTCTTGGGTTTTCCTTTCCTCTCTGTTGTCTGGGCTACAGAGGAAAATCAGTTCCTTAACACTTTAATTTCTGCCTCTGTAAATAGGGATAATGTAATAGGCTTGGAGTTGCCCTCTTAGAAGCGATGGGTCAGTCTGGAGAGTGATTGTGGGCATTTCATGCTGGAGGTCTATCTGCTCAGGTGAGGTGGGCATCACGGTGCACTTGCAGAGGAAGATGCAGATATGTACCTAATTGTGGGTGTGGGGTTTTTCTTCCTTGTGTCCTCTGCACCCTACTCCTGATCTGTGTGTGCAGAGTAGCTGTGATTGCTGTGACACGTCACTCTGGTATATGGGTAAAACCTTTTGCCTCACACCAGGCTGAATCAGAATATGCAACAGCCTTTCCCCAGCACCAACAAAACATCTCTGCGGTGATATTCATGCAGCGGTCTCAACAGTTGTGCTCCACGTGATCCTGTGCCTCTGCTGCAATAAATGCAGGAATGGGAAGACCAGATCAAGGCGGTGGGCGTAGGTACATCAGGGCTGAGGTCTGGGCTCAGTGTGCCACTGAAGAGTCTTCCAGCAGATGAGCACGTCCCCTGTGAGCTGGGATTTAGTGCTGTGTTATTAGAGATGACACTGTGAGATTGCCGTTGGCAGAACATCATTTACGTTGACAGTTGTAGCAGCTTGCTGCAGCAGTGTCCCAGGAAATGTATTTTTCAGCCAAATATTTGTATGAAATATGATAACAGGGACAGAGCTTGGAGGCAGCTGAAACACCTTCACCTTTTCTGTTCTTTTGGTGTTTGTATTGCAGTGACTGGCAGGTACCAGGGGAGAGCCTGACCCTGGGTGCTGGAACCTGGGTGGTTCCTGCTGCAAAGGGCTGTAGGAAAACACAGCGATGGAACAGGATGAGCTTTGGGGATCGAGGGGAAGGTAATGATGAAGTGAGCAGCACTCGCAGTTGGCCACCACCTCGCAGAAACAGACGCGCTGTTACCACAAGTGGATTTTCAGTCCCTGCATGTGCGAATGACGTGCTGGATGCTGGGTTGGCACTCAGCCTGAGGCCTGATGACACGTGCTGTGCTCCCCTCGCAGCTTTGAACACGGGTACCGTGCAATCTAGGAATAAGGAAGTTCAGACTTGGGTTAGTGCTGCTCTGGTCTCGCCTCCCTGACCACAGCCGGGTATCCATCCCATTGTGGGTGCTGCCATTGATGGCAAAGGGCAGTGTTAACCAGAGCGGGGTGATGGTCCCACCTGGTCCGGGGTGGTCTTCCTCCAGCAGGAACCCGGGTGGCAGAGGCAGCAGGGTCTTGCATTGTGGGGACAGAACTGCAGGGAGAGAGCTTCTAGACAGCTGTGTTTGTGGGCACATGAGGCTGCTAAAGTCTGTGCTTCTAGGAGGCAAGAGGGTCATGGAAATGTGTAGGGAGAAAACATGGG